ATACTTCACAAATTAAAATAGAATGCCAAAACATCAAAATAAGAATAAAAAAGGAAGTTCACAACAAACAAAAGTAAAAGAAAGGTTTATAAGGAGTAAAACAGAAAAGAAAAAGAAAGAAATTCAAAAAGAGGAAGAAATACCTAAAATCACAGAAGAAGAAAAAGAAAAATATTTACAAAAATTTAAAAGAAAATATGTAGAAAAAGAGAAAAAGGAGCAACTAGGATTAAAACATCCAAATGATTTAAAAACACCAATCAAACAAAAAGAAATTGGAATAGAAACTGCACAAAGAGTTATTCAACCTATTATTAAACATAATGAAAGTAAAATTACGTTTAGTAGAACAAACAAAAGAAATGAAAATATAACTAGCCAATTCAAAGAAACGTCTGATGGATTTGATATTCCTAAAACGAAAATAGAACGTCAAAAAACAATGAAAGTGCAAACAGAAATTAAATTTAATAATCAGTCATTTGATGATGAATCTATTGATCAAAATGATTCTGGAATGATTACGTTTAACGAAATTGAACAACCAACACATGAGAATAATGTCACAATTCAGTTAGATGGGGTTGAAGAGAAAAATAAAACAACAACTTTTACAGAAAATGAAAATAAAATCTCGAAATTTCAAACAAATCAACAAGAAGAACAAAGTGAAGATAGTTTTGTTATTCACAGAAATCATCCGATCGAGACACCAAAGAAAGATTTCCATCTTACAGAAATAGAACAAAGCATCCAACCAATGCAATTTGAAACAAATGTAGAAATCAGTGAAACAAGTTATAAAACACCTATTAAATACCAAGTCGAAAAGAAGCAATTAATTGAACATGATACAGTTCAACATACATCTCCAAGACAAAGTCCAAAGAAAATATTCAAAAAGGAAAAACAATTCAATACCACCGTTATTATTCCAAAAAAACAAGAAGAAACAAAAAAATTAGTATTAATTGAAGATGAACCAATAAATAAAAAAGATATAAACAAGAGAGATGAGGAGGTTCAAGAGAAAATGACTAATGAAGACAATCAAGAAATGACTGAAGAAACATCATCAATATTATCTGTTATGAGTTTTGGAGAAGAACGAGAGATGAATAATGATAAAATTCCAATGGAGGTTGTTGAAGAAGAAGAAATAGAAAATAAAAATGAAGAATCAACAAATCAAAACAATGTTAAAGACGATAAAGTTATTACTTCAGAGTTAATGAGTAAAATTGAAGAACAAACAACATTATTATCAGTATTACCATTTGGTGAAGACAGAATAAAAGGAATTAATGGGTTAAGAGAAATGAAAGAGATAGACATTCTTGAGAACAATGAACAAAAACAAAAAGAGTCAATCAAAAAATCATTCACACAAGAACGAAAAAATCGAATCAATAAAAAATTGGCAAGACCACATGAAATGATTCAATTCAATGATGGAAATCAAGTTATTTCTCAAATGAGTGTTGTTGAAACAAAGACAGAAGAAGAGTCTATAAATCAGGAACCAATCAAACCAATAGTTCAAGAACCACAAAAAATATTAACACAAAAATTTGAAATAATAAATAATGAAATAGAAGAAGTTAAGGTAACAGATATACAACCAACAACTAATTTTATTGGAGTTGATATTGTTAAAGAAATTAAAGAAATTAAGATTAATGGTCAAAACAAAATAATTTGTAAAGTCAAAGAAGAAGAGGTAGTTTGTGAAAAATATATTCTTAAACCTTGCAGATTTTTAAGACTAAGAGAAAAAGAACAAGTTGAATTTCCATGTATCCCCCCTAGAATCAAAACACCACCATTAGAACATCATATGGTTGAAGAAGAAAAACATTTTCTAGAACCAGAGCCATGTTTTAATGATTATTATCGACTTAAACCAAAATGTTCTTTAAAAGAAGAGTTGTGTATTGTTCCATTGAGAAAACAATTGAATTGGAAAGCGTTGAATAATCCACAAATGGAAAGAATAATAGAAGAAGAAGTTTCAATTCCAATGGGGTATTTTTCTAGAGTTTTTCTAGATAATGACACTGATTTTGAAGATGACTTTGTTGAATCAACTAACTCCAAATTAAAGATTGTATTTTAAATAACATATTTTTATTTGTTGTTTTTTTT